ACAAAATTTCTAGTTGGTCTAAACATATGAAAATGAAAATTAAATATCTTTCTGTCAGGGATCTTGTGAAAAAATGTGACATTGTGATTGAACATATTGATACATAATCAATACTTGTTGATCCTTTAACTAAGAGACTGAGACTTGTAATTTTTAAGAAACATGTTGACAACATGGGCATTTTGGGGTCTTTTGATGTACTTATTTAGGGCATCTCCAACCCTTACTCAAATTTAAATTTGAGTAAAAAATTCTAAAAAACGTGCTCCAACCCTAGACTCAAACTTATACAAAATCAAGGGAAACTCATTTTTTTACTCAAATCAAGGGAGACTCAATTTTTACTCAAATCTTTAATTGTGAGATTTCACCATTTTTTAAAGATCCAATGGTCATTCTTACTCCCTTCTAAATTTGGGTATGCTCTCATTTAAATTTGGGTCTCTTCTTCTTTAAATTTGAGTTTGTCCATTAGAGTCATTTATATCAAATCAAGCTTTTTACTCAAATGTTAATTTAAATTTGAGTAAAAATTTGAATCATGATTGGAGATGCTCTTAGTGAACGTTTATTTATTTGTTAAAAACTTAAGTATTGATTTAATTTCATATGTGATATTTGATGATCATTATGGTTGAGATATATCTATTTGATGAATAATAAATATTTGGATGATTATCCTTATTGTTAGCACGATATTCTTGCTATACTATATGTGTGCACATTTATGACATATCATTTTATACAAAATCTTAAGGCTTGGTGTATGTCTTAAGTATGATTGTTTTGTCAATAGAGTATGTCTTTGATTATACCATTGTGAAAATCTTGAGATTTTAAGTTTGAAGATATACTAGTTGATTGTTGAAGTTGATGGATTTCTCTTGTTTATTGTTGAAGCATGTTGTTAAAGAGAAATCACTGGGAGGATTGATAATAAATATAACATGTTTATTAGATCACATAATGAGATGTTATTTTCTTGTTACACCGCTGCATCTTGATCAATGTCAATAGGATTATTATTTTTTGTAATCATGTATTGACACTATGCCAATAGAGAATGTAAAAACCGTCTTGGTTTGAAAATAATAATTTTATTAGACTTGGTCATGTTTGAGATGTTGTCTCAAGATCGTATTTGTTTTATTATGGCCACATTGAGTTTTTGTTTAATTAGCTCGAGAGTTGTTTTTCAACAAATTATTTTATTTTATTTTTTTTAAATGGCTACAATTAATGTTGCTCAAGTGGGAGAATGTTAGAATTTTTTTCATATTGGACTTCCTTTAATTGATAGTTAATTTTGGATTTTTGAAAAATGGGTTGAATTTATGGTCAAATGAGATGAGCTCAATATTGTTAAGTGATCTATTTTAATAGGCTTATATGCATCCTTTAATTGATGTGGTTGAAGCGGTTAAGTGTAGGTCTTATTCTAATTGTGACCCGTAATAGGAGAGCCCATTAAATTCATTATAAATAGCAGGCTAGGTCCTCTTTCCACTTCATAACCTAATTTGACTTATCCCATTGAGAGTCGCTTATTACTTTGAAGAAGAGTAAAATTTTACCTTTCCCCGAAAGAAACCCAGAGATCGATTATCAAAACTTATACATGTATATTTTAAACTTTGTAATTTAGGTGTTCTAAATTTTATATACGAATTATTAATAAATTCTTACATCAACTCCAAGAAGAAATTCTAGAAAACCACTTGAAAAATCTGAATAGGAAGCCTTCTATATATGTAGCATCCTTAAGCCATGTCCTCACATAATCTTGATATAGGTTAAACCTAATTAAAACAGGTCTAGGATCAAGAATACCTACAGTAAACTCCCTTTTGATTGACCACCGAGTATTAATGAACTCCCTGAAAACCCCAAAAGACGATTTCCCATAAGAACATTTACCTACCAATGTTTGTTGCTACTACTTGGACAAATTTTGTGTTTCATCTGGTGTCCAATACATATCTGGTTCCCCATTATTGAAGACTACCCTTTTACTAGGCTTAACAGACGTAACATCCTCCTTAATAGAAGACATGTTCTTGGTCACTTCCTTTCGATTTTGGTTGGATATCAGAATTGGATTGTGAGAGGGATCTATATGTTGTAATGAAGAATTATTCTATAGCATAGAAGGCTATTTTAATAGAGAGGCAATAAATTTGTTTATATTTGGTGGTTTAGGAGGGATAAACTAGTGATTTGGATTAGAAACCATGAGTTTGGTGAAAAGTCTTTAGGGTGTTTTTCATTTGGTGATGATGACTGCTTCTAATCATATATTTCTTCTACACCATTAATATTTAAACTTTGTTAAGTAGAGGAATATTATGATCTCTATGTTTTTTTTTTTTTTTATTGTTTTTCAATTTTTCCTTGTGAACATCTTTCCTTGGCCACCTCCACCATTTTTATATATTGTTTTTGTTTGTTGACATGTTCTTTATAGGTTCATATTGCTTGCTTATCGAGTCACTTTGAACTCGGACTGAAGTCCATATTAAAATATAAACAAAGTTAGAATGAGGTGAATATTATCAAAGAGCTGAATTAAGATTTCAGCATGATACTTTTTGACCTAAATTGATTTTGAATAAACCTTGAACAAATGACCGTGTCCCATACCCAAAAACACAGCAACGTTGTGGGCTATGCACTCACAAATTGATCAACATAGAGAGAGAGAGAATAATTTGGTGATCTCAATGCTCTAGTTAGACTACCAATCTTAATCACCTACCCTAGATCCTATCCCCACTAGGCAAATGTGGATTCCTCCCTTTCCCTTGGACCCCCTCATTCTTAGAGAGAACCTCAAGGTACCACTCTTCTCACCAGAAATACTGGTGGTTATGCATTTCTAGATTTATGGGTGTATATCAAACTGCATTTGCATGTGTAAGATAGAGAAGAATAAAAGTAAATTTTGAATATGACTATGAATAATTAAAGGATTAAGTTTAAAAATATGATTATTTGTTATAACTGATTTTTTTGGCGTCATTCCAACTAGGAATAAGGAGGTAATTTTTACGTTTAAAATTTTATTTCTGCTCACTTTGTCTAATATTGGAGGTAGAATGGATTGTTTCGTTATAATGTTGAGATATTATGATATTTGTGTGAATATTAAAATGGTAGAGGTGGATGAAGAATATACCCAAATTCAGTGGCGTCATTGTAATTTACGGTAAAAAGAGTACCTTGGCCTCGAAGTTGAACATAATAATGCGTACGGAACACCCAAAGTCATTGAGCTTTTCCCCAAACCCAGCCTTATTTCCCAAAACCATTCAATTTTAAACTTATTTTTCAAATCCAATCTCTTTTTAAAAATGGCATTCCAAATGACGTCTTCATGGATTAAAACGTCATTTGAAATGACGATTTCAAATTGAAATTTTTTTATTTAAATCGTCATTTAGAATGACGTCTTTAAAGGTTTTAATGATAATGACGTTAAAAAAAATGAATTGACAACGACAATATAACAAGCGTTAAAAAAAATTGGTAGGTAAAAAACGTCATTCTAAATGACGTTTTTAATAACGTCATTGTGAATGACATTTTCTGCGACTTGCAGTTAGACCCCAACTTTTTCAAATCACAAAAGCCCTAAGGTTCACCACTAGCTTCTACTTCTACATCAACTTCGCCTTCTCGATCATCAAAATCTTCATCTTCTTCTCCAGAAACTGATTCGAGTTCCGACTCGAAGGCAAGTATCAGCGGCAATGGCGGAGTGAAGTTGAGTGGAAGGTTGTTACTAGTGATGAGTTTGGCTTCAATTGCATTGATGTTAATTTAATCTGTCAATCAGTCTTCAATGGAGCTTTAGCACTAAGAGCTCTTTGTAGAGAACACTTGGGTAGTGGTTAGTTCCGTTATTGCCTTGGCTTTGTTCCCTCTTCGAATTTCATAAATAACAACAATAACAATGATGACAGTTGAATTTAAGCTTTACCTTTGCTAGATTGTTTTTCATTAAGGTTGCTCTCCCTCGTAACTATTAGATATGACAATACAAAGAGATTCATCTGATCTAAGTAGATATACAATAAAATTCAAATAGGCCTATCGATATTAAATTATATGGATAAACATAGATGATGATAGACATGAGTGTATTTATCTTTATTATATGTATCTTACCCTATAAATAGGTTTGACCCTTATGTAATCAATTATCTTCAATAATATATAGATGTAGCCTATAGGACATTTATGTCTGTGAATGTAGGCAATTTGTCGAACTACTGTTTTATTTTCTTTCATTTTATTATTTCCAATCTTTCTCATATTATGAATTTCGTCATGTTCCTCATATTTTGAGGAACAGAGTGAATTAAAAAAAATCTAGATGAGAGTCTGAAATGGGAACACAAGTAAAGCAAGTCTTTGCTAGCTTATAGGGGTTACATGACAACCGGACATTTTAGACCTCAAACAAAAGCAGAAGCTTGCTTGAGACCACTGCTGCAACCAAAAACAGTAGTCGGTATAATATGCATTGAGAAGAATAGATAACATAAACCAGTAGCATACATGAGTACCAAATAGAACCTGGGAAGTTCCTTACAACTATGTCGACAATGGTTTCAGATAGAGCCAAATTGACAAAACTAGCCCACGATGACCTGTTTTAAGAAGTTTCCAAGCACGATGTACCAGTGCAAAGCATGTGTCTATTCCTGTTCAGTCTGGTAGTAATTTATGATGAAAATAGAGAAGGATTGATTATTGAGAATTCGAGTTACATACGATTTACAACCTTTAATCTTGTATTTCATTTAACAAGCGATAAAACACAGCTGTTGTACAAACCTATTACAGAACCATGAGTTGACTTGACGGTACAAACCAAATTTTGATGGCCAATTAGGGCCAGAATCAGTCAAATAGATGTTATTCCAATACGAAGAGCTTTGTAATCGCAACGATTGATCACGCCTGATTGCTTTTGTCTACCATTTTATTCATTTCCTTCACACTTGCTGACTAGAGTCTACTGTGGATGATGAATTCACATTGTTATCACCAATTTCAAATTTGCAGAGAGGAGATGATGCATTGATCTTCAACCATTTATCTACACACTCAGTATGAAAAAAATGGGAGCAAGGAAACTCCCTCAACTCATCATTATCTGCGTATCTTGCCAAGCAAATGCAACAAACCTGCACCAACTTTAGAGCATTAGTTGTTGATCAAGACAAACCAATGCAAGTAGAAATTGATGTAAATTTAAGAAAATTGATGTAAATAGGGCCAAAAACTCACCGCATCCTCCCCTGAGATGGCACACTCATTTTCTGTTCCTACTGCTACAAACTCACATTCACCAACTTTTGAATCACTGTCTCCACTACTACCACTTACATTCCTCTTCAACTTAAACTTGTGTATTGGTAGAGCATTAATAGACTCATCACTGGCTCCTCTCATTCCAACCATATTGGGACGAATACCCAGGATTGAAATAATACACGGCAGGCAGTAGCATATCATCGCCCGAGTGGTCTCCGTCGGCGGTAAAAGCCTGCACCGAATTGATCTTTGTAAGAGATGTGGAATGGAGAGGATGGTTAAATCGATGTGTTTACTTTAGACACTTTGAATTTTTGTGAATTGGGAAAGTTAGGGGTGTGATTATAAGTCGCAGAAAATGTCTATTAAAATTTTTTTATGCTTGCTATGTTGTCATTTTTAATTTATTTTTTTAAAGTAATTCTCATTTATGTCTTTAAAGACGTTATTCTAAACGACAATTTAAATAAAAAAAATTTATTTGAAATTATCATTTAAAATAACCCTTTAACTCATAAATGCATCATTTAAAATAATATTTTTATAAGGAGATTGAATTTGAAAAATAAGTTTAAAATTAGTTGATTTTAAAAGTTAAGTTTAAAATTAGTTGAGTTTGAAAATAAGAATTTTTGGGAGCCTGGTTTGGAAAAAAGCTCCAAAGACATTCGAGAGTTTCTCCTCTTCGGTCCTACGAATCAGAACGACACACTCCGATAACACACACGCAGATGTAGAACATTCCTTCGGTCTTCTCCCAGTTCTTCCTTTTTCGATCTCGTAGTTATAGATTCCAATTCCCCAAACCCTAATTACTTCTTGTTTCACCGCATTTATCTGTAGATTTCGTCAATCCCCACTCTTTTCCACATGATTTCGCGCTAAATTCCCAGTCTCTCATCCCAGAAAACTCGTGATCTTTTTCTCTTCCAAATTGTGTTTTACAAGCCCAGCCACGCAAATCGAATTTGACAGATCTTGGACTATGGCCAAAGAATTCAACGTCCCGCCGGTGGTATTTCCCTCCGGCGGAAACCCTGGGGCGCCCGGAGCCCAACAACGACGACCAACTGCGCCGTTTCAGCCCCCGAGATCCTCAAACCCTGGCATACCTTTCATGTCCTTCGACATCGGCTCTGCTACTACAATGACGTCGCTTCCAGCCCCACAATACGGCAACAACTCCATTGGTGGCGGCATGGGTACGGGTTTCGAGGACGAACCACCTCTTCTCGAAGAACTGGGCATAAACACAAAGCAGATTTGGAGCAAAACGGTGTCGATTTTGATCCCATTCAGAATGAAGCCCGATTTACACGAAGACGCGGACTTGTCGGGCCCATTTTTGTTCCTAATGGCGTTCGGTTTGTTCCAATTACTTGCCGGGAAGCTTCATTTTGGAATAATTTTGGGTTGGGTCACGGTGGCTGCTCTGTTCTTGTACGTGGTGTTCAATATGTTGGCGGGTCGTAATGGGAATTTGGATTTGTACAGGTGCTTGAGCTTGATCGGATACTGTATGTTGCCCATGGTGATTTTGTCGGCGGTCTCGCTGTTCGTGCCCCAGGGTGGGCTGGTGATTATGGTCCTGGCTGGGGTTTTTGTGATTTGGTCGACCCGGGTTTGTACTAGGCTGTTGGTTGAGCTGGCTTCTTGCGGGGATGAGCACCGCGGGTTGATCACATATGCTTGTTTCTTGATTTACGGCCTCTTTTCGCTGCTAGTGATGTTTTGAGCTCAATTGGTATTGTTCTTTACCAATAATGTTAGATTTGACACTTGTCATTGTTAACATCTAAATGTTTTTAGTTTTGGTCCTACTGGAGGCCTGTTATAGAGATGGAACTTAATTTTTTATCAGGTTGTATGGGAAGATATGGAATGAGTGTACTTAATTATCTGCTTGAATCAATGTACTGATTAGTATGTGGTAGGAAATGCCTTGCACTTGAGAGGCTTTTTGTTTTGTCTGATTCTTCTTGTCCATGTATATGCACTAGCGGACTAGCTAATTCAGTCACTGTATTATTAAAGCTAGTGCATTGTACATGCAAGTAACTACATAATCAAAACACTATGCCGTCAAAAGCGCATACAGAAAAACAAAATTACACTTTTTCAGTTTTGCACAACCATATTATTGTCAACGACCAAGCAAAAATAAAATAAACCAAAGTCCAGGAGAAGCTGCGCCTTTCTTGAAAAGTTTTAGTAACAGTAGCATAAATCAGAATTGACAAATAAACACAAAAAAAAAAAAAATGCACAAACGATGAATATTTATTTACCACAAAGATAGTATGGCATATTCAAAGCTGGAGAAACAATCTAAGAAATGAGCATCTTTTGGTGGAAACACCTACCAAGAGTTTAATGCATTGGTGGCATTCTACAAATCATACCTCATTTAAGGTTACAATGGAATTGCAAACAAAAAATCTTCCAAAAAGATAGCTGGATACATTTGGCAATCAAAATTGCTGAACTCTGGTAGACAGTGATCCCTTCCATGCATCTGTTAAGGTTGAAAGGAGTATTTTAAGGAGGCTAATATATAGATGATTTGGTCAGAGAGGGAGGAAATCCATAATGGAAACAACACCTCCAAAGACTCCCCAAAATCTGCTACTTGATCTCAATGGACAAAGCTTATTCCTAGATTTACGCCCATGAATCTATTGGTCTTCAAGAGGTGGATCTGTAAAATATCAAATCCTTCCTTTCCTATTCTCGTAGCCCTAATTTTTGTTTCACCTTTTGGCCTTCAATTTAAAGCCTAAGCACTGCCATAAGTTGCGGTTAGAACTTCCGACAACATAAAATTCGAATTCAAACACATTCTCGCAAGAATATCAAAGAAGTTAAATAACCAAGTACATAACAACAATCGCAACCAAACGGGATCATAATAATACTCTACAGACAAACATTCCTAAATCAACCAATTGAGTTCATTGACCATATCAATAATTGCACATTCAACCTTCCCAAGGAAATTATCATGGATGTAATATTAAAAAATGAGAAAGAAGTTATCTTAAAGCCTAATTTTCTTTCTTTCTTTTGTAATATTTTCTGAGCAATCAAACATAATAATAGAAAAATAAATGCCACAAAAATGTTTAATAGAAGTCTATGCCCGAAAGATTATAATCAACCAAACTCCCATTACAAACAAACACTGGCCGATATATCATTACATATTCAAATTACCTTTAATAATCTAATAACCATCACTTCCAATTCAAACTTCTCATTCACAGGCTTCCAAAAAAAAATGCTATAGAAGAGTTTTGACCGGTGTCAAACGATGTGGTATCTCTACAACTATTCATCTCAGTTTCTGCACGATGTGCTTGGTAATAGGATGAAACCCAACAAACCCTTGACAAGCATGAGGCCCCCATTTGGAAATAGGATTGAAATCCAATATTTAGGGGGGGAAATTAGGGAACGAAAAACCCTTGGCAAGTGGGTATCGAGAAATATGATGAATTTTGTGGCATTGTGGTGGCTTTTTAAGTAATAGTGGGAGTGGTGGGGTTGTGTTTGTGGCCGTGGGTTGTTCATAGGCTATGAAGACATCAACAAATTTTTGGACAATAACAAATAATTTATTAAGAACTCATTTTATCAAACGCCCGACATGCATGTGGGGGTGGTTGTGGTTCCACTTAAAAAACTGCCATTAATTTTCATCACTTTGACTCAAAATTGAATCAAATTCACAACTGAGATTTAGGAATCTAAATTGAAATTAAAAAATGGAAGGTTTGGAAAGAGGTTGGATAAGGGATTGGGGGCAATTGTTATGTGGTGGAGGCTTTTGGATTTGGGCAGACGATCTAGGGGGTGAAGCGGTGTTGGGTTGGCTTTAGGGTGGTGTGGGGGCTATGGCTCGTTGGTTGTTCAAGAGGGTGAGAACATAAAGAGAAGAGACGAGGAGAATGGGTCTGCTGGAGCAAGAGAGATAGAGGGAGACATACCTTGATGATGTTGGAACCAAAATAGGGCATGGCGGTTTGGTCACTATGGAGAGAATAACGATAAAGGAAATCAAAGAGAATGTGCAGGGGGAGAGAGAAAGAGGTTATTTAGGAGTAAGGGCATGCATTCAGTGTGTGTGCGCGATGTGAGGGGTTGGAGAAGAAAGAGAGAGATAGACACAGACCAACTTGAGTCGTCGGAGAAGATCGAGGGAACAGAGAAATAGGTGAGAGGTTACTGGTCTCTATAGCAAGAATAGGGCGCGAGAGATGGTGGAAATTAGGGCATTAGTGAGGAGAGAATAAAGACAGAGAAATTTCGGGTCTCGGTGGAGTTAGAGTAGAGATTTGTGGGAAAAGCACATGATTGAGGGGGTGCATTCAAAAATTGAAATTTTTGGACAAGATAGATTTTTGAGGATTAATTTGGTGCGTTTGACCAATAATTATACAATGATCTGAGACGGTAATGTTGAGAGATATGTTGGAATAATGTTGTCGTCAATTGGATGAAGTTTTTATTTTCCTGAAATGATCTAATATGTTTATATTTGGAATTTAAAAACAACTCTACTTTATTATATAGATATTATATGATGATGATGTTGTATATAGTTGACTCCACTCTTCTTTAGTTGATGAAGCCTCTGAGTTTTTTCAATTCATGTATACTATAGGGCAGTTTCGGGAGTCCTATGTTATTATGCAGACTACTACTGATTACCACTTGCATGCACAGATGCTGCCACTTACTGATTTACAAGTTAAAGTTGGCCTTTCTTATATATAAGCATGCACACACACTTTGTATATATCTTCAAAGATTTTGACACTTGGCTTGACTCTCCAATGAGATGGCCTGAGCTTCACCACTTTGCAGCCATACAAAGAGGCATGATAGGATGCCCAGACCTGGTTAGTCCCCAATAGTTATCCCGTACTTTTCTAGGGCTAACCCTAGGGGACTTTATGCATCCGGGTATGCAAGGTGAAATGCTCCAATGTGGTTGACTTGGCAAACAACCCATTTGTGTCAAGGTTTCCTAGGCTCTGGTAGTAGAGCCCGACGTATTTACAAATTGTATGTCTTTTTCTTAGCCGAGTTTCTTTATAAATATTCCTCTTCGCAGAAAAGGATGAGTCCTGGTAGGATAATGTTTGTAATTGGCTAAGTTCGTGGAGTCTTTTTGTAAGTTTCAACCTATTCCATGATCATTATGCTACAAAGTTGAAGATCCAAAATTGTCAATGAAAGGAAGGAAATCGTGTGTCAAGCAAATATCAAAAGACTTTTCGTATGTACCTTCTTACTTTGGACAAAGGTAATGACTTTAAAGACATAAGAATTCTTGGTTTAATTTATTAGACTTTGGATGATTAGAGTTAAAATGGAATCAGTTATTACTCCAAGTGTAACTCAGAGTTTTTTAAAGAAACGTTTTTATAAACCTTATTGTATTTTAAAGACATAAATTGAGCCATAATCGGACTCTACTTAAGCAACATTCTTCAATACTTAAGAGGACTAGCTTTTTGTTGGTTTTTGGCTTAACAGGCTAGTAGGGACCTCCCTATGTTTGCTAACCTTCGTTAGAGCGGTCTCTGAATACTTAGGGATAAAATAGGGAAAGGCTGAATGAGTGAGCAGTGAAGACCGCCCTCTGGGTCGCTCCATTGCTCGAGTTTGTGTTTCCTTGGTCTCTAAGACAAATTCTATTCCTAGTCTATAAATAGAGGGTATCTTATTTATGCTAGGGTAAGCCTCTTGAGAACAAATTCATACTATCTAAAACCTTGAGAGCTTGTGAGCAACCCTAGATCTCTAAATTTAAAGACTAACTCATCTTGTGATTCCTATCCAAACTCACACATTGGAGAAGAACTTGTTCAGTTCTACTAAACCCATTTGTAAAGTGTGCATATCGAGAATCTTAGTGGAGAAGATTGATCGAGGCTTAAGTGAATCGTGCGACGGGGAATTCAAGTGAAGTTACCTATAACCTCAAAGATGGGGTTTCGATAGAGAGGTTTAGTGAAGGAAATGAACGCCTAACCATGGTATTGATTAAGGTATAAGTCTCAAGTATTTATAAACTGACCTTGGGGGCTTTGGTGAACCTCGAGTGATTCCTAACGACTTTATCCGAGGAGGGTTTCCCCGTCAGGAAATCTCGTGTCCTTTATTGTTATATTTGTAAACATTTGTGATTAGTAATACACACGAGCGCTATGTGTTTTTTGATTTGATTCTTAGTACATTCATATCATATATAGTGGTTTGGTAGTGAGTTTGTTGCCTTAGTTGGGATCACCGCGAGAGATATTGAGTGTTGAGCATTAAAATTAACAAATCATTAATATCAATCTTCATGGTTAATTGAGTTGTTCTTGTCTAAAGGGGTTCTCATACTTAATTGCTTGATTAATTTGATAAAGAGGTAATTGAGGCAAACATAGGTTAAAATTGGTAGTTGTATGAGCGAAATTTTAATTAACCTATTCACCCCTTTGTAGTTAGTGTCTAGTATCCCACGTGTTTAATAGTAAGGAAAGATCCATAGTATCTCTTCCAACCCAAAGGTGTATCTCATGCACAAGCTCCTAGATAAATATAATCTCGTACCTCCAGCCTCCAAGTTTGACCGATTGAAGCGCTTAAAGCAATTGAAAAGTTTGTTATAGACCGAAAAGATCCATACAGTGATACCCTTTAATGATCCACCTTTCCTGTTGCTAACTTGGGTTGAACCATCACTTCGGGACCGTTAACTAGCTTCTTAGCATTCTCCGATGCCGACTAGGCTGGCTGCCTAAGTAACGGACTTTTGCGTACTTCTCGGGAAAACCTACTGACTTGGGTCTCCAAAAAGCAACCGACTATTGAAATATTTTTCCTCTCTTCTCAGCCTCAACCTTAGCGTACTTACCATAAACAAACCAAAGTCGTTCATGAAAATCCTCAGAAACTGCCCTTTTTCTATCTTATGTTGGACTGTCCCACAGTCCTTGCCATTGTTGCATGTTCGGCTGCTTTTTCTGGCCATAACTTGATTCCCCTTTATCCTAGGTCTAAACTAGTTTTAATTGAGAGGCTTTTCACACCTAAACACACTTCACTTGTACATGCACTTAAAATATCTGGGTCAGTGCATTGTATATTGTTTTATTCAATTCTTGTTTGTTTTAATCACAAAATATCTACACATGGATGTGAGTATCTGGGAGTGTGGAGCGTGTGTATAAACTCATTTCTAGTGATGATATTAGATGATGTGCTCCATTTGAGAAGGGAAATTCATACTAGCACTCCATACTTAACATTAGGTGTTATTGGGTTATTGTGTAGCTCCCTAAATTTCTGCCAGGAAATTTTCAATCATTGCAGAAATCTACACTATCATTGATTAATGGGGATAAGGAGTATTGCTAAGTTATAGAGTCCTCTTTTGAGTGCTTAAGTGGTGAATTATGCTCTCATTGTTTTCATGGTTTCTTTCCATGTGGTGACCTGAAAATCTATAGTTTTCCATAAGAAGTTGGTAATGCAATTGAGAAGTGAGGGAATTTTATGACCCTAAATTGTGATCATATGTGTCTAGATGGGGTTCTTGTCTAATAAGTTCTTGTACGTTGTGCCTACGAGTCTAGGACAATAGCTATTCGAAGGGATTGGTACCGAAAACTTTTTGGAGTATGCGATGGATGATAAGTCGACAAAGAACATAGACGAGGGTGATGAAGTTTCTGAAAATAGTTCCAAGATGGTAGAGATCAACGCTAAAGTTGGGGATTTTTTTGTAAGGAATGGGGATGATGAGCAGTGGCTCGTGAACGGGAGAGGTGCAGATGAGAAAATAAAAAATTCCACTAATGCAATTCAGAGTAGAGTGAATGATGATGATGGAGATACGAGGTACATTTTAGAGGAGAATCCGGAGTTATGTCTTGCTATTGTAGCTTAGTATAATGTTCATCCTTGTATTAATCCACTACATTGTAGTTTTTCTGAGTCATGAGGGTGGGGAGATCTTCTAGGAAAGGACTAAGAGTTATTTTCTTGTATTTCCGAGAAGGATACCATTCCGGGGGGAATTGGATGGGCATACGAAGAGTTCCAAGTTCATGTCTGACAAATTGGCAGAGATAGAGGACCTCATTTAGTCCCTTTAAAGGAATCAGATGTTGGTTATGTTGTTCATGGTTTGTATTAATGATCAGAATATCATAGATAATATTGCCATTGGGAAATCTAATGCCATTGTCCTTGTGGATACATATTGCATTCAAAGGGATAGGGGAAGTCTAGTACCTGAGCTATGGAATAATAGAGATGACTTCGAAAAGGAAGATAATGAGGGGTACTGCATGTCTGATGATGAAAAATGGTCCATTTTGAAGAAGTTTTTGGAGAAGATGGACTTGTCCTTAGTATACAATCGGCAAAAAGGTGGAGGGATAAGTGGGAGAAAACCAAAAAGGATGCAAGAACTTGGGAATTTAGAATCGGGTGTTAATTATGATGGAGTGGTAGGTAGAAAGGATGACAAGGGTAGTGATAGTCTTTGATGAAGATCATTAGTTGGAATGTTAGAGGTTTGAGGTTAAAAAAGAGAAGAAATTCTACAAAGGATATGTTTTTGGAGGAGAATTTAGATGTAGTGATTTTACAAGATTATATCAAAATATCAAAGTGCTTTTTGTTCCGGGGCGGTTAATTACAAATAATGTGCCTATTGCATATGAATTGAATCACCATTAACAAAGGAAGAAAGTAGGAGGTGAGTGGCATATGTCGATGAAGCTTGACTGTTTTTATAGGGGAGGGAGGCTCACTTTGGTTCAATCGGTCTTGGTTAGTATTCCTATGTATTTTATGTCCTTTTTATGATCCCCAACAAAGTGGTGAAGATTTTATTAAATACAATGAGAGATTTTTTATGGGAATGTAGTGGGGAAGGGAAGAAAGATCATCTCGTTAGGTGGGAAGTAGTGTCATGATCTAAACAAAAAGGGGTTCGTCTATAGGCAATTTAGTTAAGAGGAATGTGGCTTTGTTAGGGAAGTGGCTTTGGAGGTTTCCATTAGAATTTAATTCCTTGTGACATTCTATTATCAAAAGTAGATGAGATTCCAATGTGGTGAGTAGAGGCTCATTTCGTAATTTTTGGACGTTTATTTCTCAAGGTTTGGAGGATTTTAAAAAGCACATCTAATTGAGGGTTGAAATGGAGAAATGGTTTGCTTCTGGGAAGATATTTGGATTCGAGAGTCATCTCTTGCCCTTTTGTTTCCAAAGTTATTTAGATTATCAGAGTCTCATAATTGCCCAGTAACTAAATTGTTTTGTCCTTCTTCTTCATCTTCTTTGGGTGAGTGGAATTTAAATTTCTTTTGTAATCTAAATGATTGAGGCATTTTGGAGTGCTTTTCACTTCTTCCCTTGTTAGATTCGGTATCATTATATCACTTGATTAGTGATAGAAGAATTTGGTCTCTTGATTCATCCATAAATTTTTCTTGCTCTTCTTATTTCGAATACTTGATTGATGATTCAAGTATTAGGGGTGTCAATTGTATCGGATTAACTGAGTGACGAATGAAAAACATATAAACTCATACACGACACGTTTAATAAACGGGTAAAAAATTTTAACATGAACACGAATCGTTTAATAAACGGATAATACGAAATGACTCATTTAACCCATTTAAAAAAAAATAACAAAAAAAATATTATTTTAACTAATTTTTACACTCAATTTTTTTACTTGCAACTGTACTTTTCTCAATTAGGGGAATTCCAACCAATAGCTCATTCGAAAATTACACCACAATGGTTGACTAAAATGAGAAGCCCACTAACTTTTTTTATAGGCAAGTGAAGTCTCCCCCTCCACTTCTTGCCGATGTGGGATTTAAAAAACAGGGCCAAAAGGAAATTCAATGCCTTACTTCACTTTCCTACTTAGGGACACAATATGGGACTGGTGGGACGCAATAATGCCCGAAATACACATTACTCATTTATTATTTTATAGTATGGGACTGGTGGATCCACTTTCCTACTGTGGGATGCAATAATGTTTTCTTTACTTTTTTTTCTTTATTCATTTATTATATATATATATATATATATATATATATTATTATTATTAAATTTATTTAAACGAGTGATAAACGGGTTGATAGGTCTCATCCGAACACGACCCGTTTATTAAACGTGTCTGACGGGTCAACCTGTTTACTTCGTGTCGATTCGTGTCGTGTCGAATTTTGACTGACCTATCAAGTTTTGTTATATTTGATCCTTATTCGTTCATTTGGAAGGCAAGAGTTCCTGTTAAAGTGCATATGTTTACTTAGATTATAGCACACGGTAAGGTGAATGCTTGTGATTTATTGCAAAAGAGAAGGCCTAACATTTGTATTGTGGAGAACAATGGTATGTTTTGTGTAAGCAATATTGTGAAAGTATTGAGCATTTGTTCATTCATTGGCCCATTGCTACTTTCTTGTGGCATAAGCTTTTGTGTGAGGTGGATTTGGCATGGCTCACACCGCATTATTGTGTTTCTCTTTTGGTGACGCAATTTGGTTGTTTTGGAAATGGAAAAAGAACTTCACTTTATGTAAGTGTGCAGTTATGGCTATCTTTTGGGTACTATGGATAGAGAGGAATCATACAATCTTTGATGATAAGGAATTGTTTTAGGATAGAGTGAAGATTTTGGCATCTTTATGGATTGTAGTTACAAATGATTTTCTTGACATTTCTCCATTAGTTCTCCTACATAATTGGAAAGCTGTTTATACCTCATAGTGACTGTGTTTTTTTTTTTTTGGAGGACTTTTACATTAATAATGTACTTTTATATCTTTCAATGAAATAAAGTTTTGTTTCTTATCAAAAAAATAAAGCTTACGATAGAGTTGAGTGGAGTTTTTTTGGAAGGGGTATACGCAAGTTGGGTTTTGTGGATAGAGTTGGGTTTTTTTGGTGATGACATTTGTGAAAACAGTGAAGTACTTGATAATGATAAATGTGAATAACTTGGGTATTTAGACCCAAAAGGGGTATAAGCCAAGGTGATCCTATGTCGTCCTACCTTTCTCTTCTTCCTTCTGAAGGTTTTTTTAGCCTTGTTACAAAATGCGCAAGACAGGAGTAATTCAGGGGTTGGCAGCTAGACGTCAAAGGCCTATATTTTCTTCTCTCTTATTTGCAGATAATAGTCTTTACTTGCAAGAGCAGCATTGGAGAAAGGTTTGGCAGTTAAGGAATGGCTATGCATGTATGAAGGGCATTTTGACAAAAAACAGTTTGTTGGGGTCTACGGTGGCGTTTAGCAGGAATGTGGGTTCAACAGAGGTCATTGTTCAAGGTCACGGTACCCGCCACCAACTCGGAAGTTACTGATACATATCGGTAGTTGCAAATACCCACAAAATACTAGATAGAATATCCACATGTATCTCTACCAAAATTTGTTAATTACACGATAGGACATTAAAGTCTTTTACCCACTCAAAAGGGGAAAAAGTTATAGAAAATTTTCAAAAATAGAGTCTAGGACTTTTGAATCAGAAAGACTCTTTGCATCGACAGAGTCTTGAAAGACTCTTAGTGTCTTCGCTTTGACTTCAGCAACTACATGCATAGGGAGAGAGAAAGAGAGAAAGAGAGACGAGAGACTGAGAGGGTCAACACTAAGCTCTCTTCGTGAGGAAGAGGAAGTGGAAGGAGGAGGAGGTGGAGCACTGATTCTTAAATTTTACAGGTTTGCTTTTAGGGTTGAAAATTTTCTGATTTTTCATGTGGGTTTCTACTTTTGGGTCTTTGATTTGTAATTCCTTTTAAATTAGGCCTTCTTTGAAAAGTTGTCGTAATATTTTCCAGTGGGTTTCATCTTTCTTCTTCCTATGTCGTTGGATTTTGGCTTTTTTTGTCTGAGATTCTTGATTTGCCGAAGACTTCATCAAATCGGTTCAAAATCGGTTTAACTTGTCCAAGTTGTTCCAATGTTGCCAAATCATGATCAAGTCAGCACCGATTTAAATCTGGCTTGCAATATAATATGTAATGTGTATCGTTATCAGATCGGATCGGAGGTGATTGAGTCGGATACAACTTGACCGATACTTTGAACACTGGTAGAGGTTGAGTCTATTACCGAGGTATTACAGATTCCTGTGGTTGAATGCCAGGATAAGTACTTGGGTCTCCATTCTATTGTGGGTCGTTCAAAGAGGGAAATTTTTAATTCAATTAGGCAAAGGGTTCGGGGGATGGTGCAAGGATGGCAGGAGAAGTTGCTATCAAAGGTGGGTATTGAAATCTTTATTAAAGCAGTGATGCAGGCTGTGCTTACATATGCCATGCCTTGGTTCAAGCTGCCTAAGTTTCTGTGTACTGAGCTGAGTGGCATGATGATTAATTGTTTGTGGGGCCAGAAATCTAATGAATGGAAGACCCACTGGATAGCTTGGGATAAGTTATGCCTTCCAAAGAATAAAGGAGGTATGGGCTTCAGAAACTTGGAAGCATTTAACTAAGTGAAGCTAACTAAACAGTTTTGCGACTACTGCAAAAACCTGAGTCGCTGTACTTTAAGGTTTTGAAAGCTAAATATTTTCCCTCTTATTAACTTATGGATGCTCAATTAGGTGCTAGTCCTTCCTATTCATTGCAAAGCATCTTGAAGTCCAAGGAAGTTGTTATGGCAGGAGTTCGACAGAGGATTGGTAATGGTCAAACTATACAGGTGAAAACAGATCAGTGATTGCCTAGACCAATCATTTTTAATATAATCACTCCTTTGACAAATTTGAATGAGGACTTCCGAGTAAGCTCACTAATTGATTATGACCATAGATGTTGGAGGTTGGAACATAGATTTGCTGAAGCAAAATGTGTTTTGAGGTTGATGTTGATATTATCACGTCTATAACGATTAGTGAGCAACTTCCTGATGATCGTTTGGTGTGGCATTATATGAAATCAGGGTATTTTTCTGGGGGTAGTGCGTATCATCTCACTATGGAACCTGGTCCACACAATGGTCTCCCCCCCAATAGATCTTAAGTAACAGCAGGATTAACTAGCCAGGTTCATTCATTTGGAACTAGAAAATTCCAAATAAAATTAAACATTTTGCCAGGAG